GCAGTGACATTTTGATGTTAAAATGGTACATATACCACCTTAAATCTATCCATCCTTTGGGCCTACTGTATGTTTTGAAGTAGAACTGAAATATGCTCCACTGTTTACCTCCAGTAACCCGTCCTCGTCCTCTCCCTCTCTGTCTCTACCACACTGAGTGAGTGAGTGGGTGCTGATGGTACATGTACGATCTCTCAGCGTACTGTAATGCACTGCAACGTTAAAGATCAGGTTGTTGACACCAGGATCAGGGACTGCATTAGTGGCGCTGGGCACTCCTTCACTGCAATGCTGGAATGGCATAATTGACTTACTCAACACATACACCCACACTTGGACACACACACACACACACACACACACACACACAATGTTACACACTCTGTACACAGAGCCTCAGGGGAGCACACACAGATGCTAACACACACACATATACACACCATGGTTTGCCCCTGCCACCATTCACACACCCACACTCACTCCCACACTATTGAAACTCAAAAGCTGATGGGTGCAATTTTAATCAAAATGAAAGGCCACATACTGTGAATTTAAATAAGTCTATTAGCAAACTCAGTTGTTTGTTTTATTTTTTTACTTGACTTGATATTCTCTATACTTTTAACAGCTCTCATGACGTTTCCTTTCTGTCTCTGTGTGTGTGTGTATGTGTATACATACACAACATTGTACACACATGCATGTGTTCTTTTTGTTGTTGTTTTTTAACATGTTTTACAAATTAACTTTGGAGCTATTCTACTGTCTGCATTTGAACAAAGAAAAAAGCAACCATTGTTGGAAATTGCTTTTATTTAGGAATTGAGGTTTATCTCGTTTTCCTGATCCATCTATCGTACAGACAGAGAGGAAAGATGGAGCAAAGCCAGCAAGATGGAAGACACAAACGCATATAAAGGGTTGACTAGACAGAGACAACCAAGCAATTGCAACAATAGTCTCATATATAGAGCTGATCGTAGTCAAACCGTGCTAATGAGAGCTGTTTGCATGAGAGAGCACATCCGTGTTGAATCCCTGGGTGAGACAGAGGGTGGTGAGGAGCTTGATGAGGATTGCATACAGCCAGTAAAACAATAGGTAGAAGGAAACAGGCTGAGCCAGAAAAGGAAAGGGATAAATCACATTGGGTGGGTGAGACAGAGAAAGTGAGAGGGAGAATAATAGAACAGGTACTAATAAGACAATGGCAGAAAGAGAACAGAGTGAAGACGCAATGGGCCCTTGTCTGCTGCAGGTGCAGTTGGCTCTGCCTCTGTTTACCATGTGAGTGTGAGTGTGTGTGTGTGTCGTAGTCTGTGCGTGTACATCTTGTACAAACCCATTTTTAAGTATACTAATTTTCACTTACTCTGTTAGGTTGAGGTCAAATTGAGAATAATTTGTCCCTCTGCAGTGGAAGTTATTCTGTTTCCAACAAGCAAGTCTGACAACTTCTGCAACTTCCTGTAGCTCCATTTCACTCGTTACACCGTTTACAGGGAGGTTATTTGTGCTTTTCAAAATTAGCCAAAAAAATGAAGAATGAATAAAATCTTAAAACCAATTGAGCAATTATAGGTAAGAAGTACTAAAGGGCAGAGATGGAAGAAGTACTGGTAGATCATTACATACGTAAACTTAACAATACCACAGTGTAGAAATACACAATGTAAGTCCTGGATTCAAAATACTACTTCAGTAAAGGTACATAAGGATTAGCATCAAAATATACTTAAAGCACTGAAAGTAAAAGTGCTCATTATGCAGAATGGTCAATGTAAGAAAAAAATATATATCATTGGAATTTAATTATTGATGTGTTAGTGTGTACAGCACAGGTGGGGCCAATTTAGCAACTTCATATGCTGCTGGGTAGTTGACGCTATAAAAACACATCAATTATTACTTGATTTATATTTTGTATTAATTATCTGAATTTGCAAAGTAGCTGGTAACTAATGTCAAATGAATGTAGTGGTGTAAAGTAAAGTAGGTCCATTGGTTTCCAACATGTATGTAGAGTAGAAGTACAAAGTAGAATAAAATGGAAATACTCAAATAAAGTACAAATACCTTAATATTTAAGTACAATAGTTAAGCATATGCACTTAGTTACTTTCCACCACTGCTAAAGGGCACATTTTCAGTTGAAGGGTACTGATTCTGTACAATTTGCATGATTGTCATTTGTGTATTTTTTGATTATGGCTGGCTCTGGATGCTGTGGCCCTCTTTGGCAGGGAATAAAGAATCAGTTGCCAGCGGTAGGGAGGTCAGGTGCAGAGGAAGCTAAACACCGGTGAATAGGACACATAAGCAATTCTCTGCATTGAGGAACAGTGCCAGAGTTTCCCACTGCCTGAAGGTCGTCATTGCTGCAACCTCACCAGATTCTAAGTCACGAGACACTCACTTTTCTGATCACAGTTCAAGGTGCTTGCTTGATCTCATAAGATTTGAACACAAACATGGAATGTTATCCCCTTTAAAGTTGATATGGCAAACTTGTTAGCAAGCAGTTGCCTGTTTACCCATTCAGATGATACAGAGCAACGTTACCGTTCATTTGGGGTCGTGTTGGCAAATATAAGTCTAATACTCACTGTTCTCTGTTTTTGGTCTCCATTAACTCTTGAGGGAAATATTTGTATCCTCAGATAACAAATACTCCAATATGTTCACCAGCCATTCATTAACTGTGTCTGTTTGCCGTTTGATGCTCGACAAGTAGCTTACAGTGGAGCCGTTTTTTTTCAAGACAACTTCCAAAAATATGCCTTGAGAGCAGTGAGAATGAACCAGAACAGTGCGGTTGTAGGCCAGAAAACTAGCTAAAAGAAGCTATAATACTCTGAGGAGAACTGCAGAGTATGATGATTATCTGTGCATCACTATGAGCATAATCTTCTCACACACACAAGTAGTGTCATGTGATCCATTGTCGGTACAAAAATGTGACTAAAGCTGCTTTTAAGTATCCAGATATGTCACATACGCAGCCGTTTGACCCCCGTTTCTAGCCTCTTGTTGTCCTTTTCTGTCCTTTCTTTTTGTCCAGTCCTATCGTTTCCTTTTCTGTCTTTTTGCCTTATTGTATTATATCCTATCCTATTGTATCATATCGTCCTTGTCTGTCTTGTCTTGTCTTGTCTTTTCCCATCTTATCCTATCTTCCTGTCCAGTGCTATGCCTATTATCTATCTTTTGTCCTTTCTTCCCCTCTCTCCTCTTGCTCTTGTGTCTCCTGTCTTTGCTTCTTCTCTTTTTCACTGACTTCCTCTCATTCTCTTCACTTGCAAATTGAAATTATTAAATTTCACTCTCACATACTTGTTTGATAATTGTTCTGTTTTTCCTTAAAAACACGAGGTTGAAGTGGTTCTGCAAATCAACACAGCAAAACACATTTTGTGTTTATCTATTGAGTCTCACTATGACTCTGTACTCTTTGGCATTTCCCAACCTGCTCATTTTTAGAATGAGTATTTTGTTTTGTTTTGTCACTCATCACACACAAACGGCTTTTGAAATCATATTGTATTTCAAGTTGAGAGGAATGGAAAGAGGCAAGTGAAACAGAAGAAGAAGAAGAAGAAGGAGGGAAAATATAGGCAGAAATATGCAACACTGTGCTCCCTCACCTTCAAATGGCAGTGCTCCCCTTGATAAAAGGCTAATAAGCCTAATCAGGCCTGATTAATTACAATGATAGGCCCTGCTTTTGCCAGCCTATTTGATGGCTTTATCTGGGTTTTGCACCGGGCAGAGGCGATGATGGTGTTCCTCAAGAGGAGCTGGAAAGATTTTGCCAAAGTGAAGGTTACTGGTGCTAGAAAACTGTAGGCAGGGTGATAGGGAGGGTTACTTTTGTCATACAGAGGAAAGAGTCCACCGAAGTGACAATACAATATAATATGTCTCATATTCTCTTGGTCATTACAAGAGAAATCAATGTGGCCTTAAGCCATGTAATCACCACCATTCACCTGGACAATGGATGAAACCGCTGCTGCTGCCATTGCTACTGACAGTAAGAACAGTAAAATATGTTTTTATAAGAAAGGTTGTTCACTTGTTATCCTAACCACCTACATAAGTGAAATTATGTCGAATATAATAATGATGTATTCATGATCATCCGTCCATCCGTTATCTATAACCGCTTATCGTTTTCAGGGCTGGAGCCGATCCCAGCAGACGTTGGGCGAAGGCAGGGTACACCCTGGCCAGACTATTGCAGCACTGATACATATGACAGACGACCATTCACGCTCACATTCCCCCTCTTGCTGTGAGGCGACAGTGCTTGCTACTACACCACCACTGTGTAGCCCTTATTCATGATCAGTTTAATGCACATTTCAGTGAAGTGCATTGAGACCTGGTTCAGATTCCCGATGTCATCAAAGTGAAATTAAAAAACAAATAAACGTACAACAATATGTGTACCTTGGGGTTTTTATTCTAAAATGTCAAATGATTGATTCAGGACCTTTATCTCTTTGTTGTCTATTGTTCTGCATCGGCTATAGTCTTGGCAGGCTTTGCCCCTGTGTGGTACCTCAGACTTCAGAGCCTTAAGGATGCAGGGAGCCATGAGCTCTATATTTATCATGCTCTATGATTTATTAATAGTCTCCACAGTATGCGCAGTACTAAAAATACAGTGGAGGCAGAGCACCACATGCAGCATCTGGCTAGGAAGGGAGTGTGCAAGCTGAGGAGAGATCTGTCAACTCAGCAGCTTTCCGTTGTAACATCATGCACGTCTGGGATGATCCAGGGTTTCAGGTTACCTCAGTACGCAAATTACTCTCTGACTCAGCACTTTAGTGACCCAGCCATTCTATGAAGTGATAACATGACTCAGCAAGTAGGACATATTGAATGTAAGATACATAATTCTAAATGAAATACTCAGTAAACTTCAGTATTTAGGAGTATATTGTATCTGAAATGTCATAACTGTCTCTCTTTCTCTCTCTTCTTATCGTCAGTATGAATACTTCAATGCGGTGTTGATCAATGAGGTGGACGAGGAAGGGAACAGCGTAGAGCTCGGAGGAGAATTCATCCTGCAACCCAATGACCACTTTAACAACCTGTCAGTCAACCTCAGTCTCAGCGTGGTCCAGGTGCCCACCAACATGTATAACAAAGGTATGTTCAGTACCTCTACTTTATGATAAAGGTGTCAAAAACACGTTAATCATCACCATAACATACCACGTACATCTTAGCCTTTCAGGAACATGTATTTTTGCTGAATTTTTTCAGATATAATCCAACAAGTTAGTGTGCTGGTGCACGTGGATGGACGCCTGTGACTGGAGGAGGATTTGAGTTCATTAACTGTAACTCTTTGGATCATCCCTACCACACACTGACTTAATTAGAAGTTAAATAATCAGACGTTCGGCTAATTTACCAACCCATAAAGTGATGGCCTTGTGCAATGCTCAGTGGACAGAGTGAATGTCATGTCGACTTAACCCAGCTACCAGAGGCAAAGAAATGATGTATGTGTGTGTGTGTGTGTGTGTGTGTGTGTGTATATATATATATTATAAAGAGAGAAAGACAAAGGGAGAGAGGAAATGAGGGATAGAACAAATGAGAACGAAAGTAGGTTAAGTCAGACTGATGGAAGGTCTGAGCAACAGATTAATTACAGCTAGGTGGAAAAAAGAGAAAAAGCAAGTGAGAGTGACAGGAGGCAAGTGAATGAAATGGAAAGAAATTGAATGAAAGGGCTAGGAGAGTGAGGCTGGCAGGCCGACACAGGGAGAGGAAGAGTAATTTTGATTTGATTCACAGGCAAATGAGTAGAATTGCGCGTACACACACACACACACACACACACACACACACACACACAGAGCTTTAATAATTTTAGATCTGCAGGCTTTGTTCACCGGTAGTGATAATGTGGATGTGTTGGCTGGGACTGCAGGGAGATCGTTGGTGGGCAAAGTATCACAGTTCTGCAAAAACAGACTGAGACGCTTGACATGGGAAAAGGATTTCCGATCGAACTATTATTGTTACGGAGTAATCTAACTGTAATCTGTGCTTGAATGTATCAGATTGATCAGTGCAGCTGCGAGAGGATGCTCTATTCTTTGTCTAATACCGTCCTTGTTTCTGAAACCCTCCCTACGTGCATGAGCTAGTCACTCTCGTTCAAAATGTCCTCTCGTTTTTTATGCTGCTGACGGTCTGGCTGTATAGCCTGTGCAGGTCATAAATAGTTTGGTGGGAAAGGTGATGAATTGGAGTTTAAGTCCATGTTAGCAGAGAGCTGCATGCCCCCTGAGATTAATCGCATGAGGAACACACCACATCAAACATCCATCTTCCAAACTCACTTCCAACCAAAACACAACCCACACCATCATACTTTATGAGGCTACATGACAGGAAAATGTACCATGTACACAGTGAAGCCATGTGCACGTTTGCAGCAAATCGATACACTCTAATGTCCATGCACTTACTTTTATACTCATGCTTCCTCTTGCATTTTGACATTTCAATGAGGTATACGTAATGTGACGGTATTTGTGTAAAAAAAAGAAGAAAAAAAACATAAAAGAAGAGCTGCTGGTGACACAAGTCATTGTAGCATGTACAACATTGTCTAGCATACAATGCTATGTGTCTGTTAGAAACGTTTACTCGACACCAATGTAAAAATCATTAAACAGGACATTTATTCTTGCAAGAAGGAAACACAAACAGGTTATGCATCAAGGCTGCTCAAAGGTCTGTCTCTGAGTCTCTGACATATATACTGAGGATAACACACAAGTGCATTTGAACAGAATGATTTGCATAAAGTCTGGACATCATTTGGATCCGTTTCTTTGATAATTCGTTCTGTCAAGGGTCATCTAATCCTAATCTCGGAAGACGTCATGGTTGCTAATCAGCCTACGTATATACTGACGTGAACACAACAGATTTACTATCAACCCTTGACGCCCGGTCACAAGAAAACAAACAGATGAGATAGCCATTAAGAAAGACAACTAAGACACTTCATGAAGAACACAGCTGAGAAAGCTTGTGTGAAGATTGGTTCATACACAGACTTTATGGAACCAGTTTCTTAGATTACAGTGGCTAAACAAAAACATTATTTAAGTTTTTCCAACAGTGTCTAAAGCCGTTTTTCATATGAATCAGGTCCGAACATTGTCCAGAGTTGCCCTTTCACACATGTAGCACACAACCTAATCACATCAGTTGAGTATCTCTGTATTAGTGTAATAGAATAAGGGTCTGTATTTTTGACAGAACTAAAAATCATACCTTATCATAAACTGTAATACCTCGACACCACCCAATCCTACTTCCTCGCTCCATTTACCTCCTCCCTAATCATCATAAGTAACCTGTTAAAGTGAAGTTGATTTCATCTCAGATCACTCTGACTGGTGTAGTGGGTAACCCACACAGTTCTCCTTTTCAATCTTGAGTACAAGTGAACATTTGATTATACAAAATTCTGGGAGCTGCTTTGATCAGATTGAATTGAGGAAAGCATTAGTTGAGATGAATTTAAATGAATGCTTAGGGAGAAAGCCCATACTCTCTCCCTCATCATGACATGAGTTCAGATTGTAATAGACACTCAAACTGCACCAGAAGTGACTGTATTGTTGTGTAAATGGGGCCTGGATCAAATCCAGCCTCCTCTCCACTCCACTCCACCGAGGTGGACGGGTGTTTACTATCCAGAGAGGGCTTTAGTGTCCTAGCTTCCAGTGGACTAATTCAATCATGGCTTATTGGCATGACTGTTGACAGCAGAACAATGTTGCCAGCATAGGAGATGATGGGAAATCTGTTATCTGCTTTCCTTTCTCTCTCTGTCCATTAGGTACATGTCTGTCTGACTGTCTCTCAGTCATTTTCTGCCTGCCTTTCCATCTGCCTTCCCGGCTTTCTTTATTATCTCTCTCTAAAGGCTTTTATCTGTGTGCCTTACTGTATGATTGTGTCTGTCTGTCTGCTCGTCCATTTCTGCTTCCATCTTCCCCGCTCCGCTTTTGAACTAATCAAAGTTGTGGTTGTAAGCAGCTGTAATCAGTTTGGTTGCCCGATCGCAGACCAGTTACATTATTGACTCTTGCAGCCTGTAAAATGAAATCAATTTCAATGATTGGATATGCCCCACAATGTATCACAATCAGTTTAGTGAGAATTATAAGCAAGCGCTATCGCACATATTGTGTAGATGCACATGAGCCACTGGAGTCATAAGCTTAAATGGCAGCTATTAAGAGCTGCTAAGCTAGTTAACTTTAGCAGGAGTTATCTTTTTTTTCATCATGATTGGATTTAGCTGCTCTCTCATCAAGTTATGTGGGAAAAGGAAACTGAATTACAGCTCATCAAAATGGATATTTTTGGACGTTGGTAGACAACAGCTAAGAACAAATCAACGGCTTTTATTTAACTCTTTTGCTTTAGCTGTCTAGTTGGCCAGCTATCACTGGCAAACAGTACTTTAAGAGCAATGGTGGGTGTAAAAGATATTACTCAGCCTCAGTGCAGTTGTTGTAGTCTGAGCGGTAATTACAAAGCCAGAATGCAGTTTTCACAGAAAGTATACATTTCTATTGCATGATACTTTTATATTCACAGATATCACAAAGTCAGATTCAGCTCTTAACTCAATTATTACTCAAACATGTGGTTACTGCATTTTGTCTTTGTGGAATGGCCGACGGTCTCTCCTGTTCCTATTCTCTTTTATCTCTGTAATTCTTTTTCTCTTCTCTCATCTTTTCACCCTGTTTTACAGCAAACACTTTCCCTGTATCTCTTTGTAATAAATAGGCCCTGATAGTGATCTGTGGAGGTGCAATGTATTATGAGTGGTTGAGCAGGCACTAGGGAATACCTGTCCCAACCTCCTGGGCTGTAACACCATCTTTTTACTCAAATGCTTCCGTTTCTTTCCTCTCAACACGTTGTCTCTCCTTCTTTATTCCCTTTCATTCTTAGACTCTGCAATCGTTAATGGAGTGTACTGGTCTGAGGCATTGAATAAAGTATTTGTGGATAACTTTGAGAGAGACCCGTCCCTCATATGGCAGTATTTTGGCAGTGCCAAAGGCTTTTTCAGGCAGTACCCAGGTAAGTGTGTGTTTGTTTGTGAGGGGGTAGCGGCGTTGGGGTAGTGGCCGTGTGTTTATGTGTGTGTTTGTAATTAAGTCGCTGTCTCCCTAAACCAGAACGGGGGTGTATGGGGAGCTTCATTGACTGACAGCTAGAGACTGGAGGCTTGCGGGGTGAGAGAGAGGAAGAGTAGAGAGAAGAAGAGAGCGGGGGGTAAAGAGAGGCAGGTGAGAGATTTTGTAAAGATTAGAGAGTGGGTGAAAAATTGACATTTTCAGGTGAAGTGGAAGAAATAAGACCAGGAATAGCATAATAATGAGAAGTCACCTATTGAATGGAAATTAGTGAATATAATAATATTATATGAGGCACATAATATGGTAAAATCAGTGGTAATGATTCTTCTCTTTCTTATTTTTATCTTTTGACCTTTTGCATCTGCATACAAGTGTTTTTTAATATATAATATATACTCTGTGCAAGCTCTGGCTATCAAAAGGCAACCTTCACGGTCCATTGTGAGTTTTCTGACCTGGAGGCCTCCAAAGTCACTGCTGCATGAAGACTCTAAATTCATTCTATTCTATTCCTAAAGTTCACCAAATTTACAAAGTAATGGCCTCTGTGAAAACAGTGCGTTTTGTGGGTTATTTAATGTAATTCTGACATGGGAAGATTTTATACAACGAGATGCTTCTGTTGAATATTTCAGTGTAATTTTCCGATGCTCTGGGCACTACATTCACCTCAATTGTATTGGGGTGGCAGCAGAAATGTCTAATCTCTAACTGCATGGCCAACTACCACTAGAAGTAAGTGAAAAAATATGTATTTTACTGTAGGTGCGGAGGTAGTTTTGAAAAAAGAGATGTTTAATGTTTTAGAGAAAATCTATTGTGACGGAAAAAGTGCATTAGCAGAAAGCCTTTAAGGGCTCAAAGAACACTTTCTCAGGCCACCTTTTTCTCTTTCAGCCAAGGTAACAGTTTGTTCTTCTTTGGTACAAATTATTTAACTCCAGCACTTTTTCAGTTTGTCGTTTATTTTTTCACTTCAAGGGATCAAGTGGAAGCCGGATGAACACGGGGTCATAGCTTTTGACTGTCGTAACCGGAAGTGGTACATCCAGGCTGCCACCTCTCCCAAGAATGTGGTCATCCTGGTGGATGTCAGTGGGAGTATGAAAGGCCTCAGGCTGACCATCGCCAGGCAGACGGTATCCTCCATACTGGACACTCTTGGAGACGACGACTTTTTTAACATCATCGCCGTAAGTCCATACAGATGTGCACACAGCTGTTGTGTGGGGGGGGTGGTATCGACGCACACACAGGCCCACATCCTCTCCTCCTCAGATCAGAGGAAACCCTGTAACAAATCAGCTTTCTTTCCTGTCACGCTCACAACCAATTAGCAGTCGGCTGAATGGAGATTTGAATTGCAAAAGAGACAGTTGTGATTGAATCCCGCCTCAGGCACCCAAGCTATTGTTTATCGCATCGTGTTATCGTGTGTGCGTGCGTGGCCATGCACTTGCACATGTGTGTCTGATGCTATTTCACATCAAAAAGTAGCTAGTCTGCCAGCCCCCATTCTCTTTCTCCGCAAAACAAAGTCTTCATTATCATTCGTTATCCTAATCATGTTATTTTGAAAATTATTCTTTTGAAAAATAAAGCAAAATAGAATTTAGACAATCAGATAGAAACATATTGTTTTTCCGAAACTCTTTAAAAGGATCCGTCATTTTGAATCTGTTTCTTCTTTCTTCTTTTTATTTGTGCTATTTTTCCCTTGTTTCCTTCTATACACATGAAGGGATTTCTCCCATAGAAGACACACAGTTGTGTAACAGTTCGTATATGTTAAGTATCTGCAATGAGAGTAAAGTCTCACTTGTGTCGTGAGAATGTGTTTCATGCTACAGTGTATACATACACACAAAGACAGACACACACACGCATATGCCCACACACACATTATGGCAGAATGCTGGATGTGAAGGAACACAATTCCATTCCCTTTCTTGAACTTTGAAGTCTAATTCATACTCATGCATTAAATGATGAGTTTTTATCACAGAATGGCAGGCACTGGGTACATTGTGCACTGTACAGTGTGTGCATGTGTGTGTGCTTTTCATCAAGATGAGTAAAGTTCCTAACATCTTCACATTTGGAATTTTTAAAAATTAGATCAAACATTTCTGTATAGACAGCACATTTAAAGTGACAAAAAAAGATTGATTATTCCTTTTGTATTCTTTTAGTACAATGAGGAATTGCATTATGTGGAGCCGTGCCTAAATGGAACTCTGGTCCAAGCTGATGTCACCAACAAAGATGTGAGTCTTTCGTTGCTTGTCTTTTGTTTTCTCCTGTTAAACAGAAATCATTGATGATTTCTTGTATATTACACACATTGCACATTAATATAAAAAGATGTCACTGACATATTGTACCTTATGTATGGTCTATCTGGCATGTGTGTGAGTTAGGGTGCGTGTGACCTGTTATTCAGCCTGCTTGTGGATAAACTCTCTGTGAACTGGGGTCACCAGACCTCTGGAGCCCTCTCCTCATCTTTGCTTGAGGCTACATTAGCTGCTGCTAGCATAACACACCTGATTTTCTGACCAAATTGTGCATTGTGGGTAATGGAGGCGCCATGTTTTGACAAGTTTGAGGTATCCGTGAAATAGAAAATAAGACATTTCCAGTTCTGCTGCATTGTTTTTAAGACGTTTCCCCGACAGTCTGATAGGAGTGCAATATTAAATTGGAGTACTCTTTTAATTATGGTTTGACTTTTCCTGAGGCAGGGAGTGGGAATGTTTGGGTAATGTCTGTATATCTGTGTTTATGTGTGTGTACACTGATCAGGCTGTTCGTACAGGACATTTTCATTAAGATGGCTCATGAGAATCCTTGCAATTACTGTGGCGTGATTCCTTCCTTCTTTTCTGAGTCGCTGCTCCTCCCTGTTGCCTACAAAATTGTGTCTTTAATCCTTAAAATTCAATTTCAAAATTCAATTTCAAAATGCAATTAAATGTAATGACCTCTATTAACTCTAGTCAGGACCTAACCATTGGGAAGCAGCTGTATATGGACTACTTTCCATGGACCACATGCAATTATGTGGTTCACATCTGTGCGTGGGTGCCTGCTGGTGTTTGAGTTGATTTCTGTTTCTTTCTAAGTAAGCGTATACTTATGCATATGGATTAGCATTATGTGTTTAACTCCAGATGGTAGTTTAATGTTGTGTGAGTCAGCCAGCTAAGAGGGGAATGCAGTCTGTACAAGTAGATAAAGCTAATGTATTTTACTTCAGCTGGGGGCAGGAAGTGACTGTCACACTGGAGACTTAAACTTACTCATCTGTCTTCCCAAAATCTGTTATTTCATACCCAAACTTCAACTGCTTCATAAATACCTGTTGTCAAGCTTCCATGGGACACACATTCGTTTGGCTATATTAACATGAGTAGTTATTTGTCTAATTTGACTTTTTACCAAGCACCTGAAGAAGCCATAATCCATCCTGTCTTCTTATTACTCACATGTGCAGTAGTTCCAGGCTAATTTCTAAAGCCTTCAAGGTAAACACTGATGATTTTCAACATTATCTCTATTGAACAGTTGTTGGGCTTAGACACAGCTGAAGAAGTTTGCTCTAGTTATATCAAAGATGCAGTAACTAACTGAATAAAGTAGAAAGAAAGTCAGCAATAAGAATGAATGTTTAATTTACAGCTCAAACAGACCCAGACAACAAGGTCTGGGTTAGAAGAGCCTGAATCTGGTTAAAACATTTTTGAGACAACACCATAGGTATAGCCATTGATTTAGCAGTATTTCAATGAGAATATTTTGAGCTGACATGTCCAAACTTAACTTACTTTGCGACTAAATTAGCGCAGTCGTAACCTAGACGTCTGTTAACCTGTACATTTCCAAATCCATTCTTAATGGGCAGGAAGTTGTTGAATGGGGTTGAATCTGACTTCACTTTAATAGTCTGTTGATTATCTGTCCTACTCATATCACCACACAGTGCTCACTATTTTTTCTCAGCAAAACAACTCTTTTTTTTCTTCTTTTCTTTCATACATTTATTAGAATTGCACCTGCACCCATGTTGAGATGAATAACTTGCCATACAAATCAAAACCTTAGGCTTCAGCAAGCTGCAATTAAAGACATTTTGTTCATTCATTTATGTCACTGTAGCCAGGCTTCGTTAAGCTGACTGCTGTGATCATTGTTGAGTGTAAAAGGTGTCTGAAGCATTGAAGGGTTCGATGTCCAATGTACATTTCAGAGCCGTGTGGTGCAGCACAAAAGCTTGGGCACATTCAGCATCAACTACACACAGAAACACACACACACACACACACACACACACACACACACACACACACACATACACTCACAAACACACTTTCTGAATCTGCCAACTTAAGTACACTGCTGCACCAGGGATTGAACGTACCTCAATGTGCTGAGACAAGTCACTTCAGTCTTAACTCACATACATACACACTCACATGGTAGGTAAAATGTGCCATGCTCCAGGGTACAGCCTTTGTCAGAAATGATTTACCTTTTTTTCCACATCAAAGGAAAGGTTGTGTCTTTTTGCCATATGGGGGTATTGTCGGGGACGCTGGAGGTTGTTTTTGTGCACTTATGTATTTGTGTGTTGCTGGTGCACACGTCTCTGTGTGTGTGTGTGTGTGTGTGTGTGTGTGTATGTGTGCTCCCAAGTGAGCAGGCTCTAATATGGCCGTATGCTGCTTGGGCCCCCCACTGTGTGTTGAGAGACTTTTCTCCTCCCATCAGAGAGAAGCAAAGGACTAGAGGAGATGAATGTAGAGTGAGTGAAAGGAAAAGTGTAGAAAAATAAGACGCTTGGAAGATGATGATTTAGGTGTGGTGTAGATTTTGGGTGTTCCCAGACCTTAAAATTGTTATATGTTGTATGTGATACCTCGTTTGAAATTGATAATAGACTGTAGAAGTGTGTCAGAGGGTTGCTGACGTCCATAGGTGGAAATGTTTTTTTACAGGTAGCTGGATAGAGCCAGAGTCAACAGGAAATTTTCGAAATGCCAACAATTGGATCTAAACAGCTATGAATAGATTCAATTTGAAAATGTGCTGTGTCCATCTGTATGTGTGTGTGTGTGTGTGTGTGTGTGTGTGTGTGTGTGGGTTTTGCCTCCAGGCTGTTGCAAATAATGAGACATGCGCATGAGACCTGTTAGGTTGCTCACAACATTAACACTCATCATTAATTGCCGGAGAACAGGCACACCGATGCACACACTTTCCAACGCACAAGACTGAACGGTCATCAGCCAAGAACCTCCTATTAGGAGGTGGAGGGAAAACAGGTAATTTGGGTTCTTTCAGGCAATATGTGAAATTTCCCTCCATGATAATGTTGCAGTTTGCAACAAAAAGCGGCTCAGGTTTCAGTTAAGGATCCCATTAGACCATTGGTGCAATGTCTGTTCACACGCAGATGACGGTAAACCAAGCTCAGTGTTATGAGCACTATCCCGTTTTGTCTCTCTTTTTTTTTCTTTCCAAAAATCAATAATGACCTCCAATTTTTCCTCCCTCTGTGTTTTTTTACTCTTGTTCTGGATTCTTGTCACCGTGATCATAATGTTCTTCTCCCAAACTTTATTTTCCCAGCATTTTCGGGAGCACCTCGACAAGCTGTTTGCTAAAGGCATTGGCATGTTAGATATAGCTCTGACTGAAGCCTTCAATCTTCTCGGTGATGTAAGTAATACACTCATGCGTGATAAACCCTCCTGACGCATCTCATGCACATGCATATACACACAGAAAAGAAACAGTGTCATGCACAAAATTAATTAGCGCGCTGTAATTAATAGCAAACAGCTCAACAGAATCATGCAAAAACCAAGTAAACAAGGCACTTGATGACTCAAGTTACTGGCTTGACATCTCCTCATTATGAACAAGTAATTAATCAAACATGCAAAAAACACACACACACATTTACCTTCTCATTCTAAAGGCTCATATTTCAAAAACATGTATCTATTTAATTATACACTACAATAAATGTCTCCATTTTGTTCACGGCAATTTATTGAGGTAATACACTCTTAAGGTAGATGTCCTCGTAGCTCGTGTGCATAGCGTTTATAACACATTTAGCTTCCATGATGTGAAGGTAAGTCATGTAGAGACATTACATTCTCTAATGGGAAGTGACTACATGAAATGTTTGGTAAGCGTAAAAGTCGATTTTTAACTGGTTTTATTACGAAATGGAGGGGATCTATTTTTTGTTGTCGTTCAACTACATTAGCGTCCCTCTCCCTCTCCCTCTCTCTGTCTCCAGTTCAACGAGACTGGGAGGGGTAGTGAATGTAGCCAGGCCATTATGTTGGTGACCGATGGGGCAGTGGACACATATGATCCCATCTTTGCCAAGTACAACTGGCCAGAGAGGAAGGTAGTGTATGAAACACACAAACACACTCATCACATTATTGTACAATAGCAACTCCACAAAAGTGGTAAAGTGAGGTCAGCTGAGCTCAATTTCCCATTACGCCTTGTTCACAACTTCATGAACTGGTATTCCAATGGAGGATGAGGATGGAGAGAAGTGGACTAATGCCCTCCTGTGGCTATGAATGACTCTTTAAAGTCGCTGTTGAGAATCAGCTGTCAGAAAATGTGAGATTAGGACGAGACCCATTTCACATTATTTTGAAAGGGAAACCGAAGGTAACGGATCTCTTAAATACATCAATAAACATAGTGAGTGGGATGATAGTTTTATATTGATTACAAATGATACAATTATTCTAAAATACAAAAAGAGAAAGGCAAGCACGATCACTGTTCCTCAAATTGATACATACATTTTTTTTGTTGTTGTCACAATTCAGAGCATGTTTTTGCCAAGTATTAATATTTATCTGAGTTGTGAGAGAACGTTTTTGACAAGCAGAAAGTACTGAGCCGACCCAGTCGGAAGTCCTTTCAGAGGTGTTGAAGTTAAGTATGGCCCTGTCTCTGAGGACTGAGCTGTCTCTCTGCTGCCCTGCAAGTAATTGTGGTGCTCTTCTGACAGAACATGAAATGGAGGAAAGAGGGGAAGAAAAAGGGTTACAGTTAGGTCATGTTCTTTTTAAGGATAAAGTACCGTACCAAGGGCAATGGTAGATGAATACACCCTTAACACACCCTGTATGTACATGCATATGAATACCTCCATTGTCACCTCCAAGTCTTTTAACACACGTTATTAGCCAGTTTTAATCTTAAATCTGTTTGACCATACGTTTCTATGCATTGTTATGAGTGCCAAGTTGTTACCATAAATGACACTCTTGTATTGTCATGTTTTTGTGTGTGTCTGGTGTTTGAAAATGTTCGCACCCCCGCACCCCGACCCCCACTCCTGCCTCAAGGCTGAGCAGCAGTGAGCGGAGAGGGGACAAGGCTAGATAGTTCCATTTAGAAGAAGCCCCGCTGATAATAGAAGTCTTCGGTCTCTGTCACTCTCTCCAGTCTCTCTCTCTCTCTCTCTCTCTCTCTCTCTCTCTCTCTCTCTCTCT